TCCATAGACAATCAACTTTATATTAAAGAATGGTTTGATGTTGAAGAGCTTGGGAATGATAAAGAGCCACACCATCTGCCTTCTTTCCTTGTCTGTCCCTTCTGAAAAGCCTGTAGCCATCCATCTCAGCACTCCAGTCTTGAGGTAGTCCCACCATGTTTCAGTAACAGCAACTAGATCTTAGTCAGCCTGCCACACAATCACTTCCAGCTCCTCCTCTTCATTGCCCATGCTGCATGCATTGGTGTAGGCGCACTGCATCTGAGACATCTGCCTCACCTCCAGCATTTTTCCCCAAAGCTTATCACTGGTGAGCCCTGTTTTGTCCCCTTTCCCCATAATAGCTAAAGTTCTCTTGATAAGTCCTGCTAGCTCCTGCACTAGGATTCATTTCCCTCCTTTGAGACAGGTGAATTCCTTCCATGGACAACAGGCCAGGGGCCAAGTAAACTTCCCTATGGTCAAAAGTCCCAAAAATTCCCACCTTGACATCAGCTTCTGAGCCAATTATTCATTACCTGTCTCTTCCTAGCCCACTCCGTGTCTTTCACAGCCCCAGAAAGTGTAGAACAAAGCACCATTTGGATCCTGCTTCTTGAACTATTCACCCTAAATCCCTGAAGTCTCTTTTCATAGGCTTCTCAGAGTGATTTCATCACTGCCCACTGAACTAGGAGTAGTGGGAAGTAATCAGTGGAATGAACCAGTTTCAGGAGTTTTCTAGTTACATCTCTGACCTGAGCCCCAGGAAGGCAGTACACTTGGTTCTGGTCTGCAAATGGAACCCTCCGTTCATCTGAGAAGGGAGTCACCTATCACAACCACCCTTGTTTCTTTCCTGACAGAGGCAGTTTCAACACATGGAGTAGACTGCCTCACTCTTGGTAACCTCCCAGGGGAGCCTTCCCATGCTTCCTCACTTACCTCCCTTTTAACATCCAATGCTGCAAACCTATTGCTTAGGGGGACCCAAGGACACAAGGTAGGCAGGAAGGGGGGGTGGGGGGGGGTTTGCCAACAGTATTGAGCAGAGACCTTCTCCCAGCCCTCCCCATCCTTCAGGATCTAGATGTTCCTTGAGCACTTTCAGTGACAGTGACTCTACCACCTCCCTGGACAGCCTGTGCCAGCACCTGGTCACTCTTCTGGAGAAGAAATTTTTCCTGATGTCCAACCTGAACACCTCCTGGAGCAACTTGAGGCCATTCCCTCTAGTCCTACCACTAGTTATACAGGAGAAGAAGCCAATCCCCATATCACCACAGTCTCCTTTGAAGTATTTGCAGAGGGCAATGAGGTCTCCCCTAAGCCTTGTCTTCTCCAGAAGAAACAATCCCAGCTCCCTCAGCCACTCCTCATAAGGCCTGTGCTCCAGACCCTTCACTAGCTTTGTTGTCCTTCCCTGGACATGCTCAGAGACCTTAATGTCTTGCTTCAGTAAGGGGCTCAAAACCATAGAATCACCAAGGTTGGAAAAGACCTGAAAGATTATCCAGTCCAACCATTTACCTATCACCAATAGCTCCCACTAAACCATGTCCCTCAACACAACATCCAGTCTTTCCTTGAACACTCCCAGGCTCGGTGACTCCACCACCTCTCTGGGCAGTCCATTCCAGTGCCTGACCACTCTTTCCGAAAAGTAATACTTCCTAATGTCCAGCTTGAATCTCCCCTGCAGTAGTTTGAAACCATTCCCTCTGGTCCTATCACTAATGACACAAGAGAAGAGGCCGACCCCCAGCTCACTACAACCTCCCTTCAGGAAGTTACAAAGAGCAATGAGGTCTCCCCTGAGCCTCCTCTTCTCCTGGCTCAACATTCCCAGCTCCTTCAGCCTCTCCTCATAAGCCCTTTGTTCCAGACCCCTCACCAGCTTTGTTGCCCTCCTTTGAACACATTCCAGGGCCTCAATGTCTTTCTTGCAGTGAGGGGCCCAAAACTGGACACAGTACTCAAGGTGCAGCCTCACTAGTGCTGAGTACAGGGGAACAATCACCTCTCTGCTCCTGCTTGTAACACCGTTTCTGATGCAAGCCATGATGCCATTGGCCTTCTTGGCCACCTGGGCACACTGTTGGCTCATGTTCAGCCGAGCACCAATCAATACCCCCAGGTCCATTTCCTCTACGCAGTCCTCCAGCCACACCGCCCCAAGCCTGTAGCGTCGCCTGGGGTTGTTGTAGCCGAAGTGCAGGACCCGGCATTTGGCCTTGTTAACCCTCATTCCATTGGCTTCAGCCCAGCTCTCCAGCCTGTCCAGATCCCTCTGCATGGCCTCGCTACCCCCAGGCAGATCCACACTTCCAGCCAATTTGGTGTCATCCGCAAATTTACTGAGGGTGCACTCAATGCCCTCATCAAAGTCATCAATAAAGATATTGAAGAGGACAGGCCCCAGCACCGACCCCTGGGGAACACCACTCACGACCGGCTGGATTTAACTCCATTCCACCACCACTCTCTGTGCCCGGCCCTCCAGCCAGCTCCTTACCCAGCCAAGAGTGTACCCATCCAAGCCTCGGGCTGCCAGCTTCTGCAGGAGAATGCTGCGGGAGACGGTGTCAAAGGCTTTGCTGAAGTCTAGGTAGACCACATCAACAGCCTTTCCCTTGTCTAGCAGACGGGTCACTAGATCATAGAAGGAGATCAGGTTGGTCAAGCAGGACCTGCCCTTGGTGAACCCATGCTGGCTAGGCCTGGTCCCCCGATCATCCCGCACATGCAGCATGATCTCCCTCAAGACAATCTGCTCCATAACCTTCCCTGGCACTGAGGTCAGACTAACAGGCCTGTAGTTCCCTGGAACCAAACACAGTACTCAAGCTGCAGACTCATCAGAGCAAAGTAAAGGCTATCAATTGCTGTCCTGCTCCTGCTGACAACACTGTTTCTTATACAACCCATGTTCCCGAATGGTTCTTCAGTTAGCAGATGTCTTACGAATAACACTATGCTTCCTAAAAAACAAAACAAAACAAAACAAACAAAAAAAAAAACCACACACACTAAAATCATCATGTTAACCAAACTGTCTGACAAGCAGAGTAATTTCTTTTAAATCATAAAATCAAAAGCAGACTTATTTCGCTTTTCAACTGCAGATTTCTTTATATTACTTTCCTCTTTTCTATCATGCAGATTCCACACAAGCTACGGACTTTCTTTCCTAAACAAAAAGCTAAGGAATTCAATGCCAGTAGCTATGACAGTTTTCACCATGTTTTAAAACAGTGCTAATGATAGCATTGTCAAAAACGTATCATCATTGAACCATCATAAATATCACAGTTTTCTTAAAAAAAAACTTCAAAAATAAACATCTAAAATGTTACAGTGTGTGTAAATGTACCTCACTGACCAATATCCTCAGGTTCATATTTAATAATGTATTTAATCTTTTTCCATTCATTTCTTTCATAGGTTGCTGTAGTGAGTTTCAGGGTAGATTTATGCACAGAGTCATTAACTATGAAATTGCAAATAAAGTTCCCAAACAGAGAGCATAAGCAGTATGAATTAACACATTGCTTGTAACTTGAGTCTTTCTATACTTCTCAAAGCAGAAAAATTGCATTAAGAATAAGAAATTCTCATAGCAGCTAAGTCCACTATTAATGGAATTAAAACTGTCATCAGACTCTTTAGATTGATAATCGTATTGCTGAGTTTCTGCTATTCCAGATGAGTGACTGCAAACTGAACATTAAGCATTATTGAAGCATTTATCCCCTTTAAGAGAAGGGCCACCATTCAGTTTTATTGCAGACTGGTATAAATACTAAGTGTTTTTAATGTTTTCTATATAGTTTCTTATTAATTTGCCCCTAAAGTAATAATGACCCCTCACTGTCCAGTCTCATCATTTCAGCAGGGAAGAAAAAGCCAGAGAAATTCCTTAGCTTACCCAGGAAGCAAGTGAGAATGGTGTAGTGTTAGTTGCCTATGATTTTCTGCTGCTTTTGTGAGTGCATGGACTGCTGAAATATTTACATTCCACCTCAGTATTATCAGAGGCATAGAAATGCCACTCTGAGCATGTTTATATTGATATGCTGAGTTAATAATAAGCTAGTATTTAACCATGAAACGTATGTGGAAGCGTTTTAGTCCGGTAAAGAAATATATATATATATATATATATTTATATTTATATTTATATTTATATTTATATTTATATATAAATTAGGGGGACCCAAGGACACTAGGTAGGCAGCCTTAGCCTTTATTAGCAAAATATATATATATTTTACTTTTTCTAATCATCAGTTCTTTTGATTTTACAGATATTCAAAACCTCTGGAATCTGAATTATTAGTTATTATCCACCTTGAATATAAATCTAGTCTGTTTCACATCATTTATCCTGTGCTCAAGTGAGCCTACTAGTGAAGGTGATTCAGATAGCTCAGTTACCATAGACATTCAGACTTCTTCCTTTTTATGTCAGGAGAAACTGCCTGGATTCATTCTCTTTGTGAACATACATTGTCTGCTGGCCATAAGCACCTTTATGAAGGCTCATTCAAGGCTTCATCCTTTTCTTCTGGATAAGCTATCAGCATAGCTTTTCAACATCCCTTCCACATTTGTTTATTTTGTATTAGAAATTAAATACTTCAGATGTGAAGCCCTGGAACTCTCTTCAGTGACCACGTAAGAAATTGTTATAGTAAAGAAAAGGGGCTAAAGTTCTTCATATGAAAAGAGGAAGAAAATAGGACTGCTGATAACATTTGGTGGAAATAAGGGAAAGAAGAAAAAAAAAAAAAAAAATTGAGAGAATACAGCATTTGTGACAGGTCAAGAATTAGCTCAGACAGGAAATCACTTAGAGAAAGCTCAGATGCAAGAAAAAGAAATAGGACCTGTAATGCTATAATGCAGAGAACCCTACAGCAATGATAGGAGAGTAGCACAAATCCTAGTCTACAGCAGATGAGAACAAGCCCCAGTGCATCAGTTATGCACACAGAAACAAAGGAAGAAAAACTGCTTACCTTTAGAGGACCTCCAGTAGACAGGAATCTCCAGCCAGATACCCTTTCCTCCACTGCCAGCCCTTAAATGAGGTCTGGGAAGGAATGGATCCTGGCTCTAGCAGGTGCAATCACTCAGGTGAATTGCATGCACCTGAACTCCCCTTGGTTGGTCCTGCCTTCCCATCAGGAGCTCAATTATTGTTTCAAGTCATGATTTCGCATTTCTACTACAGTAGGAAAAAAAAAAAAAAAAAAAAAAAAAGAAGAAGAAAAAAAAAGAGATCATACTTCCAGTAAAAGGTGTATAGAAGTGAAGCTTGGCTTAAAATATATAATGTATAAGTCTGAGCTGATATCCATGCTTTCTCCCAGGCTTTTTTCAGCTACTATTCTATTTTTGGCTAGAAAGGGATATGAGTGTTATACCACTTATTTGATTGTCATTCTCCAGTTCCTACACATCTTTGATACTGTGCTCTTATTCATAAGACCTTCGTCTTAGGGACCATCCTGGGGCTATTTCCATGTGGCAGTAGCAAAGCATACCCTCTCTTTGAAGGCCAAAGGCTTAAAAGTCAGGAAATGGTATATTACTGTTTGTCTACCAGTATCTGGTTTTCCTTAAAACATTTTAGTTTTCATGAACTTTAACACCAAATTCTATGCCAGACATTTGAAGACACCACCAAAAAATGATGCAAAAGACCTAATTCTTCAGTGAAATACTGGAAAAAAATATGGAAATAGAAAATATTAGGAAAGATAAAATAGTCTCCTTCCCTACTTAGTATCTGCATTTCCAATTAGAGTGCTTCATCCTGCTCTAAAGCTTTTTGTGACCCAAGATTAAACACTTTTCAAACAGTCTCCAACTGACCTTGACACAAATACTTTTTAGTACTGATGTGGTGCTTTTTCCACATGCAGTTTGAAAAGATTTTAACGAACACTGTAAATAAAAAGCTACATAAATGTGAGAAGGGATAACTAGCAATAATATAGTAAAGTCTTAATTTGTCTTTTTTACAGTCTTTTCAGAGAAAAAGAAACTCAATCGGCTGTTTTATACCAAGGGGAACCAACAAGGAGATTGGCTGCTGTTCCTTATCTGAAGATTGAATTTCAAGCACAACATAGATTGAAGCTTAAAGGAAAGACTTAAGAACAAAACAGAATTAAATTTTTCCTTCTGTCTTCCAATTTGATCCCAAACTTCTGGTCTTTTAGAGAATTTGAAATAAGAAAATCAACATCTGATGCCGTGGTAGTTGCTTGCATAACAAAATAATGCAAGCATAATAAAGAAAAGCAAAGCATCCAAGGAAATGCAGCCTATCTCAGCCAATTGTTTAGAAGTTGCTGTCTCCCACTGAAACTTCATGGATAAAAAAGAAAAGCTTTGAGTGTGATTTTTTTTTTCTTTAAAAAGCAACCAGCATTGGTAAACAAGTTTGTCTGTTCAAGGTTCAAAGAAGTAGAAACTTTTATGTTGCAATTTTATTATTTTATATTCTCATTAGTAGGAGATAAAATAGATTTATAAAACCCTACGATAATGAAGTTTTCCAGACTTTTTAATAAGTTTTCAGCTTCTTTTATACTGTCCTAGTCAAATAAAGTACTTCATTACTTCTGGCACTAAACGTGTCACACATACGTTCTGCTCCTCAAGTATTTTAAAAAATGAGACACCCATGGTGTTGATAAGTTCATACCATTTTAGCAGAGGAAGATATATGTTCTTCAAGCTACCCCATGTTGTATCTCTGCATGACCATGGAGATGTGAAGCCAGTAGCCAATCTCTGCAGAATATAATATTACAAGGACGCCTAACTGATACATAGTGTTCCCAGCCCGTGTTGTGAACTTTGTGAAAAACAACCTGGAAAAACTGCTTCTTCCATTTCTACCTCCTGGGAAATTTGCCATTAGCAGCTTTCTGAAGCTTTGACAAGGAAAAGCTGGGCCCTCACTGTTCTTGTTTAAATGTCAAGCAAAAAAAAAAAAAAAAGACATAGAATGTATATATGCTCCTCTTACTATCTCCATAACATTAATCAGGAGTATGTGTGCATGATGTGGAATTACTGTAGGGAATGAGGCTTGAAATGGAAATGCGTATTCAGTGCATGGAAAAAAAAGCAGGCCTTTCACTGCTGCATGTATGTAGAAATCAAATTGCCACTAAGTACCTAGCCTGCAAAATCCATCCTCCAACAGAATGACTGTTTAAATGGAGTTTAGCATTATGAATAATTCTCATTGCCCACTGGTGATTCAGCAAGACCTTTCCTACTATTAAAAATCTACCCATGATTTGAATGAAACTGAAAAGCTAGCACAGTAAATTCCAGCTCTGTTTTTCCTTCAATCTGTGGAGCATTGCTGAATAGCAGAGAAAGCATAGTGTCTCTGCAGGTGAGCCGTCTTCTACTTTTTTTTAAAGGAAGTGCTCTTTCTCTCTTCTATTCCCCTTACTTATGACAGAAGACAGCGTGCCAAAGTAGCAGAGAAAATGTTGCTGGCAGTGGGAGATGTGGAGTGAACCGCAGTCTGCAGCACTCCCAATGCTCATGCCTAGCAGTGGTGTCAGTATCATGACTCCAATCAACTGTTCCTTCCTATCACAGCCCCCACCCCTTCCTTTTTTTTCCCCGCAGTGTTGTTCTCAGGCCAGCAGCTATGTGTAAACAGGATGTGGGAGCTGTACTGAAATGGATTCAAGTCCTGTACACCTCCGTCCTCACCTCTGGCTGCAGTGTGCATCCTGCCTGGAACATCTGCTTCAGATAAATATAGGGAGAGTTCAAGCTGTGCAGAGAGGGCATTGCCTGCAGTTCTTCAGCTGGTCTGCTCTTGTCTTTATTTTTTAACATTATGAAATACAGAAAAAGTATTTTACTTCTAACTGCAGGGCAAGCTTCCTGAAAATCATTGCTGAATGCCTTTATGTAACATATAGACACGTATATTTACTAAATAACTGGAAGATATTCTAAACCCACTGTGAGTAATAAAGTTTACTTTATTACCTACTAGTTCTAACGATGCCAGGCCAACTTGCACTTTCAAATGCTGTGGATATCCGTGACATAACTTGAGATGGATTAGCACATTTGGCAGTGCAGCATTTAAAAAAATTGCCTCTGGTAATCCAGCTAAAATAGATCATAGGGCTTTATAGCACATCCAAACAAAAAGGGATCTCATTACAACTTGAAAACGGAAAGCCAGAATCATGGCCATGTGCGCTACTTTTCAGTAGACTCCACGAGGTGGTCTGGAGATGCACACCAGATGTCACGGGGCCAGCTGAGCCCTGGGCACTGCCTGCCCCAGCTGCTCTGCTCCTGCAGACAGGCAGCCCCCACGGATTGGCAAGGGGTGGTTGTGTGACAGCCAGCTCAGAGCGGGACATTGCTGGCTGCGAGAGCCAGTCTGTATTTAGACATTCTGACCTCTAACTGTTCTTGTTGCACCATCCATGTACAAAAAATCCATGTACAAAAAAGTCCTGAGGAGACATTGATCTGGTACTGCCTGTGCACAGGTGTATAAACACTGAGAAATCTCCATGTCCACTTTGACTTGAAAATAGGCATTTTCAGAGACAGTAAAAGATGATTTTTGAATGTAACAGACTTTTCAGTTAAGCCCCCACTTAATGTACCACACATTTCTTGGGTGTTTATTGTCTGGAGCTCCTGTACAAGCACTTTGGTCAGCTCGTCTAGTCAAACACCACCATCTGCAATATCATCACTTACATCTAGACTTAACTGTCCATCACGCCTTTGCAGTGACATGGAAAGAAACAGCACTTGAGGCACATTTTTCATCCCTTGTTAAGGTAGGTCTCTAATAAGGCCAATGAACATCCAGTGAAATAAGTAGAACCTCAAATTGCTCATTCTCTTCAGGAGCAAAAGCTGGACCTAAGAAGCTACACAGGAAATATTTTAAAAGACATGAGAAAATTCTCGCATTGTGTGTTGTATTCATTTGCCAAAATTTTGAGTAAAAGAGGGATTCCTAAATAAATGAAATAAACTAGAAATGAAAACTGGCTCACAAGCTATCTTACAGGTGTGTTTTGTGAATTTTTTGTAGTTGTTATCATTATGCAAGTTTTTGTTTTGTTTTGTATTTAGTGTTCTCTTCTGGCAAGTTAAAACCACTGAGATAGATCCCGTTGTTAGTTATAGTTGGGGTTCAGATTGACAAAGTCCCTATTCATTCAAATATTTTTGTAATTAATATGCAGTAATCACAAAGGTCTCACTTATTTTCCACAGAGAAAGGCATAACATCAAGGGAAGCAAGATATTTCAAATAACAATATCATTATAAGATGGGATGTGACTCGGGTAACCTTATTCACCTGAGGAAGTATGAATATAAGAAAAGACTATGGTACAAAGTATTATCTACTTCAAAAACATGTGCCTCTATAGAGCTGCTGACTCCATATATTGCACCCATAATATGGGAATATTTCTTCCCTTCTGAGAAAGTAGGTATGGAAAATCAAAACAATTTCCACTTTTGTTCATCTTTAATTGGCTATGTCTCCATTTCCCCCAACTCATCCCATCCCAACCCACATTGCCTCCAAAGATAAATGCAGAATATCTATGTAACAATCGTTCTTGGGTATTTTCCCCATGTGCACAAAGTGCTTCCAGAGAGCAGGACTGGTGCTCAAAAGCCTCCACAGAACACAAAGGTCTGTTTTGGTTCAGCTAGACTGCTCACCATGCCCCACTTGGGTTACAAATTTACTGCGCTATTGGGAATATAGGAATGGACTTACTGATGCTAGATTTATGTTGGGAGATCATATCCATGGCTACATTGCCACAGGTACTTATGTAAATATCTCCAGCTGTAATGCCAGCTTAAAAAATTGTTAATTCCTTTGTACCAGCTACTTCTTTTTGCTGCTGCATTACTAATATCTTGGTTGTGCTGATGCAACTACCTCTATGTTCAAGCGGTAAAATGCACACAAATATATGATAGTTTTGTGATGGATGTGACTACCCTAAGTTTTTTCCTGTCAGCAGAAACCCAGAATGACCAATGTACAGACAGAATATTTCAGGAAAAATAATCAGGAAGGCATGATGGTCTGTTGAAATAGGCAGGTCTGAGAAAGAGTTAAAAATCTGCTTAAAAGTATTTTTACTCTGTTGAATGTCCCAGGGCCTAACAGCCAAAATGAGATCAGGACTCGTTTTACAGGGTGCTATGCAGAACCTTCCAGAATATTACCAGGTACAAACAAAAAATCAATGGAAAACAGAGCCACAGCAACGTGAAATGAGCTGCTCGAGGTCATTCAAAGGGATAGCAGCAGGACTCTAAACTGAGCACTTGGGGCCCACCAAGCATGTTTTATCTGGAAACAACCCTTGAGACATACTATCACATAAATCTTTCAAATCAGGGCTTCATGCTTGTAATCCCCAAGGTGATAAAGTGATAAGTCTTCTTTTAAAAACATGAAGTACTTGATCCTTGCATGGGGAAGATCCAGGCTCTTGAGCGTGTGATAGTCAATGTAAATATAGTCTGTAATTATGAGGATGTGAAAGGCAGATCCGCGGTAAACAGCAACAGGTCAGTGCACTGTGCAATGGGAGTTGGGGTTATCATTCCCTGTATACACATGTATGAACTAACACAGGTTCTTTTAAACATGATGTAGGATACAGCAGATGATGTTTGTCAGGTCTTGCTTAGGTTCAGTACAAGGAGGTACTTTTTTACCAGATGTGAAATGCTCTATAGTCTCTTAATCTTCACTTTTTTTAAGGGTAATTTTAGCCTTCTCCGGTTGCTCCCTTTTGGTAGATGCATATTTAAAAGGAGTTAAAATTCAGTAGGCCAAAAAAGAAAATCAGCAGAAACTATGAAGCAGTGCGTTAACATATTTTCCCTCAACACTTTTCATTCTCAAGTAGCATCAACTATAAATGCTATTGCTTTTCTTGCCAGCTTCTCTGCAACCTCAGAAGAACTGACTCAGAGCCCACTCTCTGTCATGCAGCTTCCAGAAAGCACAAACAGCTTCATAACTGTGTTTTCTCCTAGGTCCAATACAGAATCCTCGTTAGTCTCATAAACTCCATCAGGCAGAAGGTAGGGCAACCCACAGCAGTCGCTGCTGCCCAAACAGGAAAAGGACAATGTTTGCTTTACATTTCTGATATGACACATTACAAAGAAATGTCAAATCTGTGTCAAGTTACACTACACTGCACTGTGCTTTTCGGTCCTGTGATGTGACGTAACCTCTTGCAAAGCAATGAAAGAATTGTAATGTAAAGAAAGGGTTTTGAAAGATCGGCTAGAAGGAAATAATTGTTGAGGATGGGAAGAAACACAAGTGGCTGGAGTTACCCAAGCATTCAGAGCTGGCTCCAAGCATTGTTTTGAGGTTGCACCGAAGACCAATCCACATCCACATTCACAGAGGCCACCCAATACCACTGCTTGAGGGCACCCTGTTTCCCAGCTGTGTGGGAGGACCTGCAGTACAGAGCCCACGGAGCCCATACAATCCCCTGTTCCTGTTAACATGCTCCCCTTTTGCGTGACTCAACCCTCTTCCACGGCTTTTGTTTGCCAATGTATTACATCCAGTCACTCTGCTCAAGTCAGACACCCATTAGGCATACACAAATATGTTAATGTGGATAAGACTGTGGCAATACTAACAGCATAAAAAATAAGGACTGAAATGGGGATCCTACAAGGTGTTCCTTCCCCACTCTTAGTTTTCTCAGCTTTACCCTCAAAGCCAGATGCAACAGACCTTCTCTGTTACAAACGCTATTGCAGATACACTGGCTAAAGAGGGTTATGAGATGTGGAAATGTGTGAAGGAGTCAGAGAAAAGGCAGCTGAAAGCTAAGAGACTTAACTAGGGGTAGAAAAAGAACTGAAAAGTAGTTAAGGTTAGGAGAAAGATCAGAGGAGAAAAAGAAAGGACAGGACACATTATCTATAGTAAATGCATAAAAAGTTGTAGGAATTTTGCACTAACTTCATGCAAACTAAGGGGACTGGGCAAGAAACAAATGTAAACAGTGCTAATAACTTGGAGCAAGCATAACTTGCAGTTATTACAACATTACAATATTACAAGTTATTGCAGTGATTACAACTGGAAGAATATACAAAGTGTTTGGTTTTTTGTTTTCACCTGCTGTGGCAGATCCATATTTGGAGCCATATTGGATAGGCTTTTTTAAGAGTTGCTTCATCTTTTACCAACACTGTAGCCTTTCAGAGCAAAAAAATACCGTAGTTCCTTCTTGTATTTTTAGATTCAGTTTGTTTTGCTCTTTGTATTTGAATACAGGAGTGCTTATTTGCAATTGAACACTCAAGAAGCCATTAGAATCATGTGATGCCATACTGCATGCAGCTCTACAGTACTACAGATTAACTAACAGTAAACACTTCTGTTTTCCAAGTAAAACTGCTGTTTTATAGATCCTTTATTTCCATTGAATTATGTCTTTCAAATTCGCTAGTATGAAATGTTGCTTTGCCATCATATTCACATGTTCACATTGTTGTTTTTTTTTAAATAACTATAAAATCTCATTAAAGCTACTATAAAAATGAGAGTACGATTGAAATCTATCCAGCAGGAAGCCATGTGCTGTTGCACACAGTAGTTTTACTGTTCAGTCTTCTTCCCCAATGAGTTAAGATGCCTGAGATATTCATCGAGTGACATTTTTTGAAGTTAGCTAACTATATTGGAATAAAACTTTGCTGAATGTTTTGCAATGTGATTCACAGTGTTTTGGGTGAATCATTAGGCATTAGGCACTACAAAAATTGTGGTTTTTACAGTAGGGCTACAATCTGTTTCTCAGAACCAAATAATGACTATGACACGTTGTAACCTATGACAGTACATACTATTCCACTGTGCTTGAGCAATAGCTTGCAAATCATAGGGCAAGTAAAGTACGGTTTAGAAAGAGAGCATTGCTTCCTCTGAGCAGTACAGATTTTATTAAGAGTTCTGATTTATCCATAAACCCAACTTTAATGTCTTTTGTGGCCTTTTTTTTTTTTTTTCTCCCAGACTAATTCACAGGAACTGTCCAAAAAGGCCCATCTCTTTTCCTTACTGATGTGTGGAGATGCACCTTCCGAAGAAAGCATCATATTCATTCTACTGAGAGCCCTAAGGGCAGCCAATTCCGCTCCCCTTCCTATGCCAGGCCATACCTCTCCCACAGGCAAGGGCAAGCATGATGGTCTGCAGGTGCTTCCCAGCTGCGCTGTGCCATGCCCCTTCCATGACATACTCATCTATTTTAGGGGCTTTGGGGATGGCTTTTCCAACCACCCTTCTCCCTGTTTTCCAGGCAAAGAGCTTCCTTTCCCTGGGTCCAAGGGCCTGTGACCTACCTGCCATTTTGTGCCCTCGTGCCTGGTCTGCTCAGGAGGAGAAGCGCAACGTGGAGCACGCCAGGGCTCCAGCACACCCTACATCGGCCCGACAAAGCTGGTTCCTTCCCGCCCACACAGCCAGATCAAACAGCCATCAGGAAACAATCTGGGAGCCATACTCCCGCTTGGTACTGCCGCCGGGGCAGTGTAACAGGGCGGGGGGCAGTGCTGTTTCTAGCACATTCCAATTGACAACATCTGGGTCAGCTCCGTTCTGAGCAGCTGCCTTTGCCACAGCCCCTGCTGCATTGCCTTTCTCTGTGGAAAGCTTTGTTTTGGCTAGGGGTAGGTTTGTTGAGCTTTCGTGTACTGAAGTCTCACACAGAGACTTTCCCTTTGCCCGTGGCATGTGACCCTGCCAACTTATAGGCTTGCATCCCCAATAAGAAAAACAATAAAGTTTAAAAACAACAACAACAAAAAAAGTAAAGATTAATTAACCTCAGGTCTGTTCTCAGCAAAGCAAAGCTGACATGGATAAATAATAAAAGTAACTTCTCAATGGTCCTTGTGTCTGCCAGAGTCCCACTCTGTGATCTTTCAGTCAAAACCGTGACAAGGGGAGGGGGAGGAGAGGCTGCTGCATTACTGTCCTTTTCTTGTGCGGGTGTTCCCAAGGCTGCTCAGCTCTGTCCTTCGAATCATCTCCACCAGTAAATCATTTAGCTCAACCTGTCACTCCCGGCCATTGTGAGGAGACAAAAGCTACCCATTTAACCCCAACCATGGCTGATTTGCACTGCAGGGAAGGCAGGCTCACAAAAGAAGGCTCGCAGGGAAGGTGGCAGTTGGGTTGGGTTTCGTGTAGTATGGTGCTGGTTTTCCCTCTCGATTTTTCTTTCTTTTTTTCTTTTTTTTTTTCTTTTCCTCCCCCTCTGTTATTTTAAATTAGCATCACCGCTCATACTGGGATTGTTTTTTGAAGACCACATGTTTGTCAACAGAGTTTGAGTAATTTGACCCCAGCCTTGCTTCAAAGGTTTGAAAGGGCAAGAAACATACATAACCTATGTCAGCATACATCTATTACTCCTTTCACCTGAACAGCTTTTTAGACCACTTTTGATGTTTCAAAAGAGGCGGGAACAGAATATCCAATTAGTCACAGGAAAAACAGCAATTCCAGTCAACCTGCTTGGGGAAATCCGCACGGCAATTATCAAGTTCCTTTCACCTGAAGGACTGCTTTAACGTAACAGTTAGTAACTCTGCCACCTTGAACCCTAACCGCTGCCCAAAGTTCATATCTCAGATGGTCATGTCCTGCACTACAAGTTACTCTCTGGGTCAAGACCTCACTCTGCCCTGATATTTTAAAATTAAATGTGAACCCTTTACCAGTGTTTAACAGTTTACCAACATTTTAAGACTTCCCTTCTGTAACTGTCCTGGCCAAAGTTTAATATTCATGTAACAGCTCCCACCCCGAGCAGCCAAGCCCATGAAAAACTGAGCAGGCCATCAGAAAGCAGAAAATTCACATGGTACCAACTGTAAAATGGAATACATACAGAAAGCAAACTATTCTGCAAATAGTTTCATAATTTATTATTTTCCTCTGTCAAATTCCAGAACATCCCTAGTGAGCACAGCACCTACCACGAAACAAACAGTAATTCTTACATAAATCATACCTGCAAATAACTACAATTTCGATTTCTATTGATTCTGTCATTAACCCAGAGGAGAATTCTTCAGAAATTACCAATCGAGTGTTCTACTGTTTTAAGAACTGGGCACTGAAGCTGACAGACTAACAAGCAGAAAATACATCACATCTGTGCTTCTCCAGGGATATTCTTCAATATTTTTATGCATGTGAGATTTAAGAAATGACTGTGTAGTGTACATTTTTGTAATCTTTTTTATGTGCCTTTTAACAACAAGCAGTTCAGGATGTGGTTATATCTTAGTGTATTAGACATGTTTACTCTCCCTTTGGGCATTTAAAATGCCTGAAGTCCTCTTTTCATTATGAACTGTGTGTCAAAATGTTGGTTTGGATATCAAATTCTAGCTCTTGTAACCCTGTCATTAGGAAGAGTCTTTGTCTGCCTGGGTTGCTCTTTTGATTCCTTTGTTTTTGCTTTTTTTGTGTTCCCCTGATAGGTCTATCCTACACCTTTCTATAGCTAGCAGAGTAATGCAGAGTTGGGAAAACATGTTTTGCATTACTGAGACTGCGGACTCACTGTAAGCTTTCTCACAGATTCATCTTCAATGAAAGGCAGAGGGGTGGGGAAGAAAACATGCTTTTCCATGGGACTACAGAGTATGTGAATTGCCTTCTCTTTCAACCTATGGGGCACCCTTCAGATTTCAGCACAAATGGAAGAAATATCTGATTTCCCATTCCATCTGGATTCAGTTTCTTTCTTCCTCTTTGTATAGTTTCTTAGAGACATTATGGAGCTCACTGGAGGGGCTGCTTACAGATGACTATGGCTGCACTGGGCATAGTGCCAGAATTTCACTCCAGGAGGCTGCAACAGGAATCTTTAATTAACTTGAACCAAAACATTGAATGGCAAAGAACAAAAGAGTGGGGGTGGGGGAGGAGAGGAGGAAGGGAGGGAACAGAAAATAATGTTTCCCATACTAGAATCTCCATTTTTGGTCATGGAATGACAAGATCATAATGTCGTCCCTTATTTACCAGAGCAGAGGTAATAATTCTTAACTATTGTCTTAGTAAGTTTTGCCTTTCTTTCTGCTAATAAAATTAATATCTCTGGTTGCTATTTGTACAAATTAGTGAATAGTATTCTATCGAATCTTACATCAACTTATAGCTTGATAACATACAGCCTCTACATTTTACATTATTCTAAATAGGAGGTGACAATCTCCGGTATCTTGAATATTGCATAACTTCAATGCATTAATGTGACTGTGCACAAGAGTTCCAGATGTTGAGCAAGATCCTGTTCTGCTCAGCATAGTGCCAGTATGGTACATCCTTGTCCTCAAAAGTTTACATTCTAGGCATAAGAAAGAATTAGATACAGACAACTTACTGATAACTACTTACTGAAACAGCATTATTCATCATTGTGAAATGTTTTCAAAACAGATTGGATAACATTTCACACTTACTTTGGGGAAGTATACAAAATGAAAAACAGTAGAGAAGCAGACATGAAATACTTTTCTCTCTTGAGATCAAGGGAATGAGTGCAGTGATTTCTTTGCTGTCCCTTTCCTAGCTAAATATGCATGCAGAATAATTACTGTAAATGCAAAACTAATGGTGATTTCATGCATATGCATTCAAGGGACTTTGTGATCACGGATCTGGTAGTGTTCTAGTTAATGAGGCTCAGTTGCTCAAATATTCGTGAAAACAAACATAGCAAAGATTTGTACATGCTCAACATGAATCTATTTACACATTGAAAGGAATATTCAAGTGTGAATTGGTTTGCTAGCCGGTGGTTTGGAGTTTATTAGGTTTGCATCTTACAGCTTAATGAAGTCCTGAAAGAATTCATTGTATTCATTGCCTGATATGAACCAACATGTGATAGATGGGGACAAGCAGGAGATTCACTTAAAAATTCACAGTCCTGAGCCACACCAAGATACTAATGTAAACATACCCAAAGTCAAAGAATCACAGACCTGTAAGGGTTGTAAAGGACCTCTGGAGATCATCTAGGCCAACCCTAGTGCTAAAGCAGGCTCCCTACAGTAAGTTACATAGGAAAGTGTACAGTTTTTAAAATCTCCAGAGAATGGGATGCCACAGCCTCTCAGGGCAGCCTGTTCCAGAGGTCTGTCACTCTCACAACAAAGTTTTTCCTCATGTTCATATGGAACTTCCTGTGTTCCATTTTGTGCCCCTTGCCATGTCATTGAGCACCACCAAAAAGAGCCTAGCCCTATCCACTTAACTCCTACCCTTTAAACATTTGTAAGTATTGATAAGATCCCCTTTCAATCTTGTCCAGGTGGAACAGTCGAATGTCTCTCAGCCTGTCCTCAAAAGGGAGATGTTCCAGGGCCCTCATCATCTGTGTGGCCCTCCACTGGGCTCTCTCTAGAAGATTCCTGTCAATCTTTGAATTGGGGAGCCCAGAACTAGACACAGTACTCCAGATATGGAACACCAGGGCAGAGTGAAGGGGAGGAATCACCTGTCTTTACGTGGCCACGCTCTTTTGAATGCACCCCACTATACCATTGGCCATCTTAGCCACAGGGGCACACTGCTAGTTCAGGGACAACCTGATGTCCACCAGGACACCCATGTTCTTCTCTGCAGGAGCGCAAAGAAACTTTTCATGCTCAGAAGCATATATACCCATCATTGTTTCCTATTAATTTGCTGTTGTGTGCTATATTTCACTTCTCTATAAAGTGATCATGTATTTGCTCAGTATACGGGGAGAACCTGGCATACACAAGCTCCAGCACCCACTTAAAATGGATAGGTTCCTACACAGGCCTGATGTTGATGTGTCTTCTTCAAATCATATTGGGAGAATTTGAAAAAGAATTTAAGATCCCCAATCTGAATGCGACATCTTCTGTAAGACCCTGCTCAGGTTTATAGAGAGAAGGGGACCTGGGTAAAAAAAGCATTGAATGTGCTTTGGACAGTTCACTGGCACATTTTTGCAGTTACTTCCATTGGAAGCCATTATGAAAACACATAGAAGACTTGGAGAAATATATTTTATACATATATTCTCAAATATAGAAAAACTCTTTTATGAGTCTATTTATATCATCTAACTTAAAAGGATTTATGTATGAGCTGTACAAGGAATACATTAGAATGATAGCAAAATTACTAAATAAAACGAAAACTCTGCTCAGAGTTAGTCTAGTGGAACTCTGCAATAACTCTATTTAAGTCAAAGATTTAATAGCACGATAAGAATTTTTTTTTCCAATGTTGTTTTTGGTCTCACAAAGACAGTTATATGTGTCTCTGAGTGCATGTGTGGGAAGGTAAATATAGATTCATAGCTGATTGGATCCATAGAAACATAGATATCTGCTATGTTATTGAAACACAGTAAATAATTGAGCATAGTTATTGGATTCCGTGAAGAATGAATGTGATACAATAGCTATTCCCCATCTAATCATTGATATGCTGGCTCACTATGGATTATGTATACGATAGACTCTGTTTTAAACACTTAAAGATGTTACATACGTCTATACTGAAGTCAGCATTAGTTGTTTCTGGCCTTACTTTGGCAGAAGGAATGATCTTAGCAATATAAAACCAATCTCTCACACAATATATTCCAACTTAGAGGTTTCTCTATTCTGTCACTTATTATCCTCAAAAATATAAAAACAAGAAAATGGTCTCAAATTCAAACTGACAGCAGAATAAACCTTTTGAAATTCCTAAACCGCATTCATTCCTTGTATAATTAATTCTACTGAGGACAGTAGAGAGGGAACCGAGCGAAAGTT